CAGAGCAGCCAAAAGACAGAGAGGAAAATACCAATCTGTATTGCAATCCAGGTGAACGAACAAACAAAAAAGAATCCACCAGGAAATAACCAGAAAACAGGGCAAATTTTCAGGAGTGTCTCCAGTTCCAGCCCTTCTTCTTGTGATCCAGTCTGGATTTAAACCCTCCCCCCCCAAAAAAAAAGCCACGAGAAAACAATTTTAAAAGTATCCTGCTGTAGCCAGAAATGCAGCACTTAAAAAAAAAAAATCTAGCCTGCTTTTCAGTGAATCAGTCTCATTGCCAGTCCTCTCCTCGATTTCACTCTGGTTACTTCTTTTATTGCAACTGTCAGCCTCACCATTCAGCAGCTGCTCCCAGCTCCAGAGAAGATATCCAACCTCCTAAAGCCATCTTTTGGGAGAGGGCTGGTGCCTGGATGCTGAAATCTCCTCTCTCCTTCTCCCACCCCCCAGCCCAACCTGCCTCCAGAGAAAAACAGCCCCCCCACCAGCAGGCCTTCACCTCACCAAAAAATAGAAAAGAAAGCCAGGCGAGGCCAGGAGATGCTGTGCAGCAAGGCAAAAGGGATACGATCCTGGAAGGGCTGCGGGGGGTCTGGGCTGGGGATTGTAGCAACCAGCAAAGAGATTCAGGCAGGCGGTGAGTGTAGCAAAGGAGCTGTAATCCGATAGGAGGGAGGGCTCGCCTGTCACATGGACTATGGAGGGAGTGACCCATTAGAGAGCAGAGGGAGGAGGGCACTTAACTGTGGGAAATTAAAAGCCGGGGGGGGGGGGGGGGCGCCTGTTCCCTGGGCTCATTCGAGCTTTGAAATCTGAGCCCCAGGGCAGCCCCGGCTGGGGTTTTGTGCGCAGACCTAGGGCTGGGGGCTCTGGGATCTGACATAGCATCACAGTCCCTTCCTTCAGCCCGTCTCTGTTAAAAGGCCATTTCATCTACTTCGCCCTCATTAACTCAGAATTGCTTTTGCCCAGATTTACTGGGAGGTGCCCCTGGGTCAGGGCCCAGGGGATCAGGGTCTTGTTTGGGAGGCTGATATGCCACTGGGCCCTTAGGGTTGCTTGGGGACCAGTTGGGGCAGGGCAGGTGTTGGATGCCAAGCCCCAGCTGGGGCAGTGAGGAAGACGGGTTGCCTTGGGGGATGGGGCTGACCTGCTCTCTTCCCCCAGACGGGGCTGCTGGAAAGGCTGCAGGCAGCTCTGGGGCCTTCCAGCAGGTGCCTGCTTCAGGTCAGGTTCAAGCAGACAAGTTCCCCATTGGCCAGGACGGGGCTGATTTCAGCAGGCTGAAGGGGGGGAGCCAGCCGATTGAGGCCTGGCAGGCTCCAAGGATTAGCTCCTGGCTGCAGGGCTGGGAGGGGATTCCTTGAGGCCTGGGAGCCAGTGGTGCGCTGGCAGAGATTAGGTCAGGCAGGGACTGCTGCTTATCTGGAGGAAACAAACCCCTTTTTGTTGCCTTGTGCTCCAACGGCAAGATAAATTTTTGGTTTTTTTTAATTTGAGGCTTGACAATCCTCTAATGCAAATGCCTGAGAGCATGCAAAGCCCTTTTCTGTCTCAAGCCTCCCAGTATCCCCAGGGAAAAGGGACAGGGATGGTTCCTATCAAACCAGAAGAGCAGCCCACCTGCTGCAGCAAAGATACTCTCCCACACCCACCCCAGGGGGGCCATTTTATGCCCCCTAAAGATAGCCAATGTAGGCTGCAGGGCAGACATTGCAGGTTGGCATCCCTTCCACAGGAGATGATCCTGGCACCTCTGTGTTTTAAGGAAGCTCAGAAAATGATTTTTTATCTGGCTGTCGTTTTTATGCAGGGCTGAGGCAATACTCCAGGCCAGGCCAGGCCAGGCCAGGCCCAGGCCCAAACCTCAGGATCCAAATTCATACCTAAGCTCTTACCCAGAGACATAACTTGTCAGTACTACACTGGGCCCCTCTAGGTTTAGAGGAAGCAGAGTCCAAGCTATGAGGAACCTGGGCCCCTGCCTTTTTCTCTCTGTGTAGATATGGCCTTGTTAGTCCCTCCCCTCTTGGCCAGATGCCTCAGAAACAGCCTTCTCTGCAGACAGCCCCATACCAGCAGTACCTAGACACTTTTTCTCTAGCATCTAAACCAGCTCTGAAGGAACCCTTGGTGTGGTCATTTTGCAGCTGGGCTGGGGACATGATGCAATCATCTGCAACGCAGCATTTGGCTTCTCCAGGGAGGAAACAGCTTTATTTTTGCACGTTGGGAAGATCCAGCTAGAGCCCTGGTATGCTGCAGAGCCATATCTGAATGAGGTATGATGCATGCTAGCAGCACTGCAACCACCCATGGTGTAGCAGCAAGGCCTTGGGGTTGAAGACAGACTGTGAAACCCACCTGCCAAAGACAACACTTAAGCAACCTACCACTGTTGCAGCTGTTGTGTGTTAAATATGTTACCTAGAGCACAGGAGGGCCCGGAGGCTGTGGTACGCACACACAGGTAGATGGTACGCAAAGGAGCTGTAATCTGATAGCAAAGTAATCTGAGGCTGTGGTACACGCACAGGTAGATGTGGTCCAGGCCACAACCTGCCTACCACGCAAGGGGACAAGCACTGTTCAAAGGGTGAGGCAAGCAGCCCACACACAGAGGCAAGATGAATTTGGTTCATCACACCTATCAGTTTGCATCGATTTTGCCCAGCAGGCCCTCAGCTGAGCCAGTTTTCTGTTAGAGGTGGTTAAAGTTTTGGGGAGAAGCAATGGATGCGTCCAATGAGGGCAATCCATGCCTCTGAGAGGAGGAGGTGGAATGAGGCCCAAAGGCTCTGGGAGAAGAAGTGGCTGAGGCTGGTTTCAGCTAGAGCGTGTGGGGGAACATGACACATGAATAACCAGTCTCCTCCTGAGGAACATGCATGGAAGGAGTATGAGGAAGCATTTGGGCTGGGGAAGGGAGTCCTCAATCCATCTGCATTTCAAAACTGCTTTTGCATCCTAAGGATCTCACAACCTTACCTCTAGCTGGGCTGAATAGGAACACTACCACCTACTACAGAAATGCAGGCAAGATGAGGCAGCTTTGAGAAAGCATGTGCTAATCAGCTGACATCCTCCAGGACAGTGGTCAAGGCCGAATTTCTGCTCTACTACAGGTTGGTTCCTAACATGGTCTCAAGCCCATCACAGTCTCTCTGGGCCTCATCTCCCCATCCATGCTATACAGATAGTACGGTATCACTGTCCTGCCTTCCTGTGAAGTGTGATTAATATTGTGGCTTTGTCTACACTGCTGTTTAGGGCCACCCTTAAGCCTATACACACTGACAATCTATACTGAAAACCCCTTAGCTCTCCCCACCCCTCAGTAGGTCTCCTAAGGGTCCAAGGCCTGAAACCAAGCCTCCTCCTGCAGTGCTTTTGAAACTCACCTGAGTACTAGAGGCTACTTGCTTCTGGCAGATTTCATAAGCTCTCTCTCAATTCCTTGTTTCTAACTTCCAACCTCTCTGCACCCTACCCCTCAGGTCTCTACTCCCATAGCTAAAGCCAAGTACAACAAGAGAGACGAACAGCAGACAGACCGATTGCTAGAAGGGCTCTACTTGAGGAACAGGAAACACAACATTTAGCACCCCAGGTTAGCATGGGAGCACAAATGGCTTGGACTAGGTAAATGTGGCCCTTGCGGTATACAGATGTTATGTGGTTGGGGCCACACAAACAAGGGAGGTAGAGAGAGTCTCTACCTCATTATCCCCAGCTGAAAACCTGTGAGGTGCTCAGCAGGGAAGCAGGGTTGTTACTAGGCTGGAATTAGCTTAGGACCCTGATACTCCAGCTTTTGCAGAAAGTGCCCTGAGAGCTTTCATAGCTACCCGCAGGTAGGACGTCCCCCTCCAAGGGGGGAACAATTGTTTAATAGATAATTATTTAAAACCAAAGAGCAACTGATTGACGACAGCCTTTGTTTTGGGAAATAAAAGCAGCCATTTGGCGGAACGTCATGGGACAGCTCTGCACAGTGTGGGTCCTGCAGGCAAAATCGCCTAGCATTGTCTGACCAGGAGAGCGAAGAATGGGGAGGTGTGAGCCAGGGCTCTGGGGTGTTCTGGAACAACCCACTTAGGACGTGTCTCGGCTTGAGACCAACAGAGTCTCAGTCCCCAGGGCTTGTGGCTGGTGTCCTTCCTGGGGAGTGGAGTAGGAGAGTTGATTTATAGATTTCTCTCTCATAAAAGGGGGTGGGGAAGGGATGGCTCAAACCATTGATCATGCTTGCTTTCCTGTGCTTGTTCTCTGGAGGGCAATGGCTGAGGAGAACAAGCTGCGTGCCATTCTCTGCTCTTAAATAAGTCCGGATCTCCTGGCCCAACTGGTTACCATAACAACCCCAAATGTCCAGGCTCTGGCCCTGAAGTGTAAACAACCTGAGCTGGAGCTGGGCACCCAGTGTGCAAACTTGCTGAGCAGCCCCAACTAGGGAAGGCAAACGCTACCCTTATTGAGCTGGAGTGAACTCACAAAGGACGCTCCTCAGGACAGGAGCAGATGTGACAGCAACACAAAGCAGTATCTGTCCAAACACCTGCGGGGCCCAGAGGCTTGTGTCAACACCACGAGACCCAGAGACCCCATTTCTCTCCCAGCTTCCCACCCTTAGTCAGAACAGCCCAATTCAGGGCCCAAGGTAGCAGCCACCTAACAATTCTCTGACATGGTGAAAAGTCCTTCACCTGCTGACAGGCAAAAGCTCTGCCCAGGGGAGAAAGGATTGTCCAGGGGTGAGTGTGCTGGCCTGGCTTCGAGTTCTTGCTCTGCCATGCATGGCCTATGAAGCTAAGTGACTTGGCAAAGGTCCTGCAGGAAGCCAGTCTCACTCTGTGCCTCAGTTCCTTCCCCCCCTCCCCCATACAAGGGAGAACAACAGCACTGCCTTGCCTCCTGGGGGAGACTCAGACACTGAGGTAACAGGGGCTATGTCCACCGCTGAGACAAAGTTTGCTTTCTAATGGTGCCTTCTCAAGCTAGCAGGACCACTATGGAAGACCTTAGCTGAAAGTTGTGCTGGCATCCACTTCAAAGTAAATAATCACTGCCACAGCCTGAAAGATGAGCAGTAGGTGCAGGGTACGTGAACTAAGTGAAAGGAGAAATGCCGGACATTTCAGAGCAAAGGGCACAGGCACCTCCTCCCAGCCAGAGCCACAGCAGGAAGGATCATTTGTCCCTGGATGGTGGCAGCTCATATATTCTCCTTTGCAGCTGGATTTCAGATGCCTGGGGCCAGGCTGACTTGCAGGCTGCAGCATGGGAGCAGTGGCAGAGGCTACACTGAAACAAACTTCCTACAAAGCTCAGCACCAGAGCACTTAACAGCACGGCTTGCAGTGATTACTGCCGTCAGTACATGCTGGGAGTGTTGGACCAAGTCACAAACTTTCCAGGACATAGACACGCAGGGGCGGAGGAGTGGGAGTGAAGCAGGGGGTTGTCCAGGGGAAGACTCTAATGGTTCTACTTGAAAGATGGATCTGATTCCTGAGCCATAAGGAAATGTCCCCTCAACTCCAGTTTGCCCAAGAGGAGCTTTGCTCATCGTAGGGGAAGCCTTGGTCACAAGCCAGGGAAGCCCCCTTTGGTTATGACCCTTTCCGCTTGGGATTGCTCCCCGAATCACCTTTTC